AATAAATTTACTTTCTGTTTGCTTATTTGTTATTGATATTGATGATCGATTAATAAATATAAAAGTGGAATTGAAATAAAACTGAATTGTAATGGAACTTTGATTGGAATAATATAATTGGCAAGTTTGATTTATTTGAAAATAATTTACAGCAGATATTAAGCTGTTGGATACCATTAACTTGCATATACATTGATTTTCAGTAAGATTGAATAATGAGATAGATATCGTATCGATCGTAATATAGTTTTCTATTTTACCAATATTAATAGAATGAATTGGAGAAAACGACAATAACATAACAAGCATCCAAATCATATTGCACATCTTACTTTTTCTAAAATCATTCAATAACTGTTTTTGCGAACTCTCATTACTCGTTTTTTCTATTTCCTGAAAGTTTTCTTCTATTTCTTTCAAATTAGTAACTCATCAGAAGAAAACCTACGTCAGAGTTATACTTTTCAAAATTAAAAGTCATGTCTAATCAAGGAAATAAATTCGCAATGAAAATTAACGGGGGGCAGTACAGAGATGGTCGATTCTACTTGATTATGTGAATAGAATCATTCAATGAAAAACATATTTCATTCGTTTTTGTAAAAAATCATGATTTGTAAAATCCAATCTTCAAAGATACAGAATTGTTATTCTACTTAAATATACAACATCCGAATAATTTTTTTGACAGTTTTTTTCCAACTGTTATATTCTTATAGTCGTCAAAAAAACAATTGACGTATACATATCGGATGTTATACAAGTCATTATCATTTAAGAAATTCATTCTTCTCTGTTGTTAACAACATTATATTAATATTTTATTTTATAGAGTGGAATAATAAATTTTTCTTCGTATTAGTCAAGTTGAGAAATTCTGATTCAAAATACTATTATTATCATCAATACAAAAATGTAGATGTTTTACAATTTTTTGAAATATTCTATTCTTAAAATTTTCAATTGTTGTTCACACTTTAGACGATACTATTCTTTCAAAGGCAGTCTGTACTTGACTCAATATTATGGGCTATTCGTTCACCTGACTTAACTCTATCAGATTTCTTTTTATGAGAGCATTTCAAAATAAATTTCTACAAAACTACAGTTGACAATATAAATAAGTGATAATGACTTCTAGGGCACCCTGTATGAATGTAAATCTCGGATGTCATCGTATATTATATTTCTTTATCACACGATAATCGAGTTGTTGTTTGGATAAAAAATGTTACGATCGTAAATAACTTTAAATTCACGTATTTGTTGATCAGAAATAAATTTTATTTTCCCGCTCGATTATTCAATTTTATTAAAGTGCTTTTTATTTTATGCATGATTGTTGGATGAAAAACTTTGTTGTGGTTGTGAGTAAGAATAGAAAAGAAAAGATACACCCACATATACGCTCACCCTTCCATAAAAACAAAACATTGGGAATACAAGCATTTCTATGATTGCTTTTTTCATGAACAGGAAGTGTAGTTTTGGCCTTTTTTTCTAAAATTTTCTAATGCCGCTGACAGAAACAGAACGAGTGTGTATCAATCGGTATTTTCTAATTAAATTTAGACAACGTTCTTTGAACAAAAAAACGTTTTGAATAATGAATATCATTGAATTATACGTACACCGTAATTATCTTTTGTAGAAAAAAAGAGTTTGTGATAAAATCAATAGTCATCGATCAAATTAAATACAAAAAAAAAAGAAAATAACGTAAGCAAAGCCAAAGAGAGTTTCTTTTCACTTCTCTCTTCTGAACGACAGTGTTAAGACGTGTGTTTTTCGTTTCTTTTACACTTTAAGTACATATACAAATTATTTTTCCATACTGGAATTCAGTAGTATATAATTTTGATCATAACTCATTCTTTGAAATATTCTCCTCTTTCCTAGCAGCACTGTGGGATCGATCAAGTAAATATAAACATATTAAAAGCTTTACGCCCCTTTGGCCACCATATTTACTATTGTTAGCAAATAAAATAAACTGCATTTATAAAAGATCGCAGAGAATAAATAAAATTATATCCTTCTCTTATATTTATTTGTTTTATCACTCATTACACTTATATCTAACCATGCTTTTTCTCGTTTTTGATATTGTTGAAGTAGATGTAGAATATTCTAAGTAATTATCACTTGTTAACCTGCGACAGGAACAATGATATATATATTAAGAAAAAAGAAAAAAAAGAAAAATAAGATAGTTTCTTTTAAACGAAATGCAAACGAATTGATATCATTGTCTTCGAAACATCGAAAGAATTTCACATGGATATTTGCTATTGTCCGAAAAATTTTTCTAGACAAATTAATCGGAGGATTCGTATGTCCGTTAGAGAGGAAGATGACGCCAACAGTATTCTTCTCATTGATCAACATCAAATGTGACGTACCAAGCAATGATCCACCATGACCGATATATTGGTGACCATTGCTCAACGTTCGCCAATACCAACTGAGACCAAATTTGTGTAACAACGGTATCTGCGTCGAATTAGCATCTGAACTTTGATTGTAGAACGGAATATGACCACCTCCAACTACTGTTCGTATTTCGGCGATCGATCGAGATGTAAGAATTGAAGATCCATTACTCATGAACATGCGAAGAAAAACAGATAGAGAACGAGCCGACATGCGCAAGAGACCCGCAGGATAGTGACTAAAACTGAAGAATGGAATGTGTAACCATGCTGGTAGATTTCTCTAGAAAAACAATAATGAAATGAAATAGTCAAGATATTGACACATTTACTGTCATCTGTACAACATTCAACTGTGGTATTTTTTGATTCCATTGCTCAAGAAACGATGTATTCAATACATATGTATAATGCTTAACGAGTTCTTCTCGGTTTGGAAAATCGGCCAGACGAACACCTGTTTTGTTAATATCGATATTCAATGGCTTCAAAATATTATCTTTGATATATTGATTATAGGGTGTTTTTGTTACTCGCTCAACAACTAATGCAGCCAAAGCTGAACCTTCATTTGAATAGAATGTTACACTTCCTGGTGGTTTTGGCAACCAGTTTGATGTGTTCGGATTTATATGTGTAAAACACATATCAGCCAAAGTTGATTGAGCGAATGCAGTATCACCCGGTTGGTAAAATGTGTCTTGCAGTTTACTGTTAACAGCGATCGAAGCCGAGTGTGAAAGTAATTTACGGAGAGTGATTGAATGAGATGGATATCGTGGATGGAAGATTTTTCGATTTGGTTCCGATAAATATTGATTGATGTCTGTATCAAGATCAATAAGCTCCTTCTCAACAAGTTGCATAACGGCAATAGCAATGAATGTTTCTGAGATAGAAGCAAGAGTAAAAATCGAATTATCTACATCCATAGGTTGTAATGGTAAAAGAGACTGAGAGCCAAAGGCTTGTTCATAAAGTATGACTGGCATTAACCACGATGATTGCTGCACCTGGTATATAAACTTTGTTGAGGGACTGTTCAATAGTTTCTCGATTTGGACAACTTACATAACTGTTAGCATTAGTAATACACTTGACAAGAACAAGCATGATGTACAATAAGGATATCATCTTTTGATTCTATTTGATGAAGACTAATCTTCTTCGTTCTAATAAAATATTAAAATGCATTTATATACAGCAAATGTTGTGCTTGATAAATCATCAATAGACGAAAAGGATAAAAACGAAATTTTTTTATTAACACTCTTTTTCTTTTCTTTCTTTTGAGGCTTCTAACCTCATTTAATACCAAAAATACCGTCATTGTCTGAAGACAAGAAGAAAGACAAAGATACAGATTAAAATATTAAGAAAGAAAATAGTATATATTGATGTATATTGTGATCTTTTGTCGGCCATCAAATCAAAGCCTCTATTAGTCATATTTTTAAATCGTATATTTGTTAATGACATTCGTCTTTGAGTCGAACTCTTGAGGGTGGACGAATATGATTGTGTTTGTTGATATTAATTTTATGTTACATTTAATCACACCCACACCCTCAAGATGGTTCTATGTCTTAAAGAAATATATTGTGCTAGAATTATATTATTCGGTGTCCAAAAAAAACCTGTGCAATGATAAGTACGAGAAAAAGACAACAAAAGATATGCAGTCTCCTTGAAAGTTACAGGTGAAAACGAAGACTACAATATTTATCTCACACAGATATGCAAACATCAGTTATATGAAAAAAAGAAAAAAACCCATTTAATTTTCTTATTATTTATTCTATTAATTTGAACATCAAATGAAAAATATATGCTCTTGTTAAGATATCATCAGTATTTAACATTAATAATTCCATATATTCATTATGAAATATATATGTAAGGACAAATTGAGTAGATTTCGAAAAATGATAATGTTTATATTTGTAAAGCTCGGTACTTTTGAAATTGAATATTTAAAAAATTCTTTGATACCATATATTTTAACTCTTTTTCATATATAATGTGCGTATGACAATATTGTTATCTCTTATCAATTCTGGTCCGCGTTATATATGCAGTGGTAACATTATAATTTACTTATAAGTCATTTTACTTCTGCACAACTTATTTTAGAGAAACAGTTTAGTATTTCTTACGAAATCGATTGAGATTTATTCCGTACTATGTGGTCAATATTTATTTGGTCTGTAGTATGCTTATTATTAAATGATGGCTGGTCTTTAGAAAGTCATAACTCTTTACGTAAATCTTCTACAATGCTAGTAGCTAGCATTCCTGACGCTGAATACGAACAGGTTATTGCTGAACGTTATTTGTTTGCTCCATTTGCAAATGAATCTACAGCCTGGTCTGTACTTAGTACTGTCCGTCGTGCATGGCAAGTTACTTCATTACCGCAATATCATCTTCAAGCTACTGAGGGAGTTTGGTTACTGACTCAAACTGCTACAGAAGCACTGAGAATATCTTGGATGTCATTGTCTGCGAATGGTACTCTTGGGATTTTGACTGACATCGACGTTAAAAGCAATAACAGCTTTTTGGTTGTATCACATAATAAAGCGACTGCCTTAAAGTATACAACTGCTCTCATTTCACCACAGGACATACAATTAATTCTATGCAGTCAATCGGATGCAACTGCCTGTAGAGTTACGCAAATCATTTCTTTTCCATCTGTTTTAGCGAATATTTCTAAAATTACAGCCAGTTTATTTGTAGAAGATCTGGGAGTCGCAGGATGGTTATACATTGCTACCGATGTGGGACTGCATGGATTGGATCTTTCTACGTTTACAGTGAATCCGTTTCTATGTGAAATCAATGTATCTGTTTCCTCTTTGGCATGGAGTTATAAAAGACAAACAATATTTGTCGGTACGGAAACTAAACTTTGGATTCATACATATTCTACTGGTAATGAAGCATGGCGTTTTGAACAGATCAATGGATTGATTGACGCACCGATCACTTCATTGGTATACAATGATGTTCAAGACAAATTATATATCGGACAAAACACAGGAATTACTCTTCTTTCACCAATTGTCATGTCGAATGGACGTCTATGTTGGTTCTTTTCTCGTTTAGCAGGACAAATCTCCAATCCTGGATCAGATATTGGTCACTTACCATTTGCTAACATTACTGTTCTGGGTGTTAGTCATTCAACATTATCCGACAGTCGTGTCTGGTTAGGTAGTATTCGTGGAGTGATGCGTTTCGATTCTAATAGTACTGATATTAATGCTTGGCGTGTATTCAATAGTGCAAGATATATGCCTAATCGCGAATCACAAGTAAATGTGACTTCACTAGCTGTATTGAGTCGTAACAATGATGCACCTGCAAGTCTAGGTAGCGCCCTAGTAGCAATTACCAGCAAAGGATTGGCTGTTCTTCGCTTTGAGATGTGGACATTGGAACGAAAAGCAAAACACTTTCAAACATTTCTCGATCAACCGGGTAGACATGACAAATATGGTTTGGTCTCTGGCTGTGATATGACGTCGTGGGGTGATAGTCGCACTTGTATCAAAGGGCCAGATGATAATGATGGTCTTTGGACTTCTATGTATCTGTCCAGTCAGATATTTCGCTATGCGGTAACACAAGATGCAGCAGTGAAAATATCGGCTTGGAGACATTTTGAAACATTGGAGCTGCTCAATCAAGTATCAGGTAGTGTATTCAAACTATATGACGATGATTTTACTTTATTATTATTTCTGATAGGTATATCTGGTTATCCTGGTCGTTCACTTGCAAAACGCAGTGATTTTCCACCTGACCCTCATTGGCATCCTTCTCCTATTAATTCAACTCTACAATTCAAAGGTGATACGTCGTCAGATGAAATAACTGGCCATGAATTTGTCTATCCACTAGTACACGATTTGTTGGCTGGTAATGATGATGAGCGTCGAAGAGCTTACGTATTAGTCTTAAATATCACCACTCACATTCTTACACATGACTGGTATTTGGTGGGCGAGAATCACACTCATACTACATGGGGAATTTGGAATCCAATTCAAATAAATAATGATAGTTATTATCAGGAATCACGCGGTCTCAACAGTCTTCAAATACTAGCGTTTTTATTTCAGACTTATGCTTACACTGCTGATGAACGCTTTCTTGATGGTGCCCGACTTCTTATTGAATCGTATGGATACGATATCAATCTCATCAATCAAAAGATGATTGCTACTTGCGATGGTGATTTCTCAGACGATGAACTCGCTTATTTGGCATATTTCAATTTAGTTCATGCATTCTACACAATTAGTTCTTCGACTAAATTATCTTCAATACAAAAGACACGTGCACAATTAATTATTGATGATTTATGGGAGTTTATGAAGGTTGGATTGGATCTGTCGCACATATATAAACAAATGGAAAAATCACCGTTCTATAACTTTATTTATTGTTATGCCAGTGGTCAAGTCAATCAAACCCGAAACGTATTGAAAAAACGCAATGGATCAAAGGTTCAGTCTTTTGATTTTGATTGTAATTCATTGTCAAATGACGGTATATGGTACATGCAACGTTGGCCATTGGAACTCATCAATTGGCAACAGTTCAACAGTGATCGCTTAGATATTCAAATGAACGTACCTGCTACAGCGTGCAATACACATGAGGAACTGCTTTCAATACAGATGCTACCACCAGACGAGCGATCCACAAAAAAATGGAACAGTGCTGTTTACGATGTAGATGACGGCAATGGATATAGTGAAGAAGATCCAACTACTTTTTTATTGAGTTATTGGGGAATGCGTTATTTCAACTTATTAGAAAAATGAAAAAAAATGAATATCGTGCGACATGTAATTCTTTTATGCTAATAAAATAAATAATGTGAGTTTTGTTACGTAACAGAAAATAATCTTTAGAAATATAAGTAAAGTAAATTAAACGACAATCACGGAACATTCTATAAGTGGTTGAGAGAAGTTAGCATTTTTTATTTTACAAAAACATATAATCCAACTTCGTCGGAAGGTTGTCAGTCTTAAAAAAAAGGTTTATTCATGAGAATAGTTACTAAGGAGGAATATAAAATTAGGAAATTCGGGCTTGGATATACGTACATCCACATCTAATACACATGCACAATTTCTAAAAAAGTTTATTTGCTCTAAGTCAATGCCAATCATTAAAATTATATCTCTATCTTCAAAACGTTATTTGTGTTCAAAGTTTCAAACGCACGTTGCTGGGCTTCTTCTTGAATATCGTTGAATTTGAGGTTAAGTGTTTTGAGTGTCTATGTGAAAAATGAAGATGAAAATGAGAAAGTTTAAGGAAGAACGAGCTTTACCGTATTATTTTGTAATGCATTAGCTAGAGATTGGATTCCTTCGTCTCCGATATGATTGTTCCATAGATTGAGTTCAGTAAGTGTCTACATGAAGAAATACACATCAAAATGAGAGAAACGAAGAGGGAAAGAATTTTACTGTGTTCATTCGGAAAGTATCAGCTAAATGTTGGGCTCCTTTGTTTCCAATTTGATTTTGGCTGAGGTCCAATATGGTGAGTGCCTATGCGAAGAAGTGCAGAAAGAAGTGAGAGAAAGAAAGAGAAAGAAATTCACGTTATTAGTTTGTAAAGCATCAGCAAGATGTTGAATCCCTTCGTCTCCGATATCATTGCTGCCGAGCTCGAGTGTAGTGAGTGCCTATGTGGAAAAATCTAGATAGAAATAAGACAAAGGAAGAGCAAGATATTCACTATGTTATTTCGTAAACTTTCAGCTAAATATTTGACTTCTTCGTCTACGATTCTATTGTTGCTAAGGGCGAGGGTGATGAGTGTCTGTATAAAAGAGTGAAATAAAAAATGAGAGGGATGAGGAGGGAACAAAGGTCACCGTATTATTTCGCAACACATCAGGCAGACGTTGGATCCCTTCTAATCCGATGTGACTCCCTCCAAGGTTGAGTATGGTGAGTGTCTGTTGAAATGATGAAGATGAAAATGAGAGAGATGAAGCAAGGAAGAAGTTCACCTTGTTGTTTCGTAAAACATCAAATAGATGTTGACATCCTTTGCCACTGAACGCATTGGATGCGAGGTCTAGTGTAGTGAGCGTCTGTTTAGAAATAAATATAGAAATGAGAGAAATAAAGTGAGAAAGGAGTTTACGTTGTTATTTTCTAAAGCATTAGCCAAATGTCGGATTCCTTCGTCTCCTATCTGATTGCTGCTGAGGTCGAGTGTGGTGAGTGCCTAAGTAGTGAAATACAGATATAAATGAGACAAATGAAGGAAAAGACGGCTACCGTATTATTCTTTAAGGCATCAGCCAAATATTGGGTGCCTTCGTCTCCGATTTGATTACAGCTAAGAATGAGCTCGGCTAGTGTCTATATGTAGAAACGCAGATCGAAATAAGAGAGATGAAAACAAAGATGGTTACCGTATTGTTTCGTAAACTATCGGCCAGATGCTTGACTGTTTCGTTTCCGATGTCATTACTACCGAGGTAGAGTGTCGTAAGTCCCTGTGTGAAAAAACTAAGGTTGAAAAATAAGAATAGGAAGAAAAGAAGAATTTCACCGTATTATCTTGTAAAGCTTTAGCCAGATGTTGAGTACATTCATCTCCGATTTGACAGAATCCAAGGTTAAGTGTTGTGAGTGTCTGTGCAAAAATGATGAAGATAATCAATGACATGAGGAGAGAGAGAAAGGAGTTTACCGTGTTGTTTCGTAAGCCATCAGCCAAATGTTTGACCCCTTCCCCTCCGATTTTATTGTTGAAAAGTTTGAGTGTAGTCAGTGTCTATGTATGAGTTAATATAGAAATATGAGTGATGAACAAGGAAAGTAGTTCACTGTGTTATTTCTTAAAACATCAGCTAGATGTTGAGATGCTTCGGTTCCAATGTTATTGTTGGAGAGATCGAGTGTAGTTAGTGTCTGTGTGAAAATGAAACTGATGACGAGAAAAATGAGTAGACAAAAGATACTCACCCTATTTTCTCGTAAACCATCGGCTAGGTATTGAGTTCCTTCGTCTCCGATCAGATTGGCTACGAGTTTGAGCGTCGTGAGTGTCTGTGTAAACAGAAATGAAAATGAAAGTAAGAAAGATAAAGGTCTGGATTTTCTCTTTCTCCTCAATAACATAAAATTCAATTCTCTTACCGTGTTGTTTCGTAACGTATTTGCCACAATCTTCATGTCTTCATCAACCAAACCTAGTACTTCTAAATCTAGCATGGAAGAATCACCGTTTCGAGCAATAATTCCTTCCAGATCGACCTTGTCAGATGATGAATCGTCATTTGGTTTTTGTTCTATAATATGCGTATGCTTAAGAAATTATTTGATATGAGAAAGGAATAGAGAAAAGGCAACCAAATTGAACGGTTTTCTATCAAATCAATTAAACACTATCTGTAGATAGAGCGGCACAGTTGGTGATGTTTGAAATTGAGATTCAGTGTATGCCTGCTCTATGGAAAATCTATCACTGTTGCATCGGGAATATGTATATCTTGTCGATCCTAATGAGCTAAACATGACTAAAAACGAACTCATGGTCTTAGCTTGATCCTGGCGAGATTTTCGATTCTTACTGCATTTGTTTAACACAATCCTCTGATCCATCTTACACTCACCAGAGAATGGATCACCGTATTTCCGCACCACTCTGATACATCGGTAGATTTGTGAATGTTCGTATTCCCGGATAGAAGCTACCAAAAGATCTGAAGCTTTCAAAATCAACTATTCTCATTGGAACTTTTTTATGTACATCCAAGAACTAGCTATGGACGTGAAATCTTATTGGGATATGCATAGCTTTATGGGTGATTATCGATGCTAACTTATACAAATGCCATAGTTCCTAAGGTGAAACTCGGATCGTGATTGATTGTAAGATATAAGTAGTAATAAAGTGTTAACCATAACAAAGCATTGAATAGAGGTGGAATATGCATATAACTGACGAGAATCGAAAAACAGGAAGACTAACCATCAACAAAAAATAGCAACGGACGTAGTTTTTTTAGATTATTAGTTTGATTCACAGTAGACAAGCTTATTCTAATTTCAACTCCGTTATTTCGGTTATAGAATGGCCAGAGAAAATAAATTTAATAAAGGCTTTTTCATTAATCTATGACATCGTCATCAATGTTATCTACATAAACTTAAATGACCAATGTGCAAAGAATTCCTGTGTTCATTTTTGCTTAATGATTATGCTTGATGGTAGTTGATACTTACCCTCCTGAACGTCATCGAAAACATCAGAATTTTCACTGAATTGAGGAGTGATCTTACGGGAGCCGGATATCATGAGCCAAACAAGGAAGATACATTTACCAAGACAATAAAAGAACGATAACTTTAGTAAGGCATATCCACAATATTGAATACAAATAAGCAATGCGCTGAGTAAGCCATGTCCAAAACACTCGAAACAGTTCAGCGATGCAAAAATACTCCAATAGATCAATAATTGTTTACTATCGTATAATTCACGTGATTGAACAGCTGATAGCCTTAAAAATATTTATTGATATAAAAATTTTATTTTTCCGTTGAGTTTCAACAGAAACGAAAAAGTATTTTCAAATAACATTACTAAACGCTACGCCCTGTGAGCACATGGAAGGACAAGAAGTAAGAGACTAGAACATATATACAAGAACTTTCTGTATGAGATAGCCGTGCTTAATTTATTAATTACATATTTATTTAAGCAATAAGTGCATTACATACTTTATATATTATAACATTGAAGTAGTATATTAATGCTTGAGTTATTATAATTAAACTATCGTGTATACTTATATGTTTTGTTTATGTATTGAGTTTAACATCTGTTCTCATCAACTATAGGTTGATAATGAACGTATAAGATCAAAAAATTAAAAATTGACTACCGTACATTTATTCTTACATTAAAATATATTTTAATTGCTTAATAGCAATCAATTAGAATCAAAAATAGTGATTCTGTAACAGAACTTTATGCTCTTATTGAGAGGTATCATCCAATCCTCCACTGGATGAGATGAACTAAGCTTATCAATCGAATACTATCTTCATTTAGTGATTACCATATGTCTGCGGATTCATTAGAGAAAAGGTTATTTTTACTGCGGGTGATTTTCCAAGCTCAAATTTTCAGGCTGACACTGCAATTAATATCAACTAAAGAGAGAGATCATAACCCGTTTATTTCAGATTGTAGTGCAAGTTTCTACGCACTAAAAAGAATTGATAATTTATCGCAAAATCTCAAAAATCTACAATATTCTGGAGATTTTTCCAGTACTGCTGTCAAAAAAATGTCTTGCTTCATAATAAACGACCAATTAAATAAAAAGAATTTAAGTTATAATCTTACGAAGCATAGATAGGATAGAGAATGCAGATGAAGTTACAGACAAAATCATTGCTCCAACCAATTACTAAATAGATGCCAAGAATAACGAGCAAACCTAAGAGAACAAATCGACGAGATCAGCAAAGAAAAAGAATAACAACATACCAAGAGTAATTAGTAATCGGTTCACATGTATTTTCTGTTCGACAAGGGCCAAAAATGGACTAATTCGACTTTCATACAAATATGGACGGAATACATCCTTGATCTTTTGAATACCGGATCGAATCGTGGCAGCCATTTCCTTGTATATGGTTTCAAATCTTAAAGAAAACTAATAAAAACTAAAAAAGAATAACAACAGAAGGATTGTAAATATCTATTGAATAATAAATCAGTAGTTATTTTCTAACACTGTGAAACCATTAAAAAAGTCGTCGCTAACGTCAGTCTG